CACCAACAGACTGGGCCACTGAATCCCCACATCAATCTGAGGTTCTCCATAAAGCGGTGAGGGTCCAGAGACAGAGGCATATAATTTTGGTTTCTTTTACTATGTTGTTGTTAAGTGCTGTCGAGTTGGTTCCAACACATAGGGACCCTGTATAGAGTTTCAGAGGAGCGGCTGGTGAATTTGAACCCCCGACCTTGTGGTTGAGTGCTCCACACTAGGACTTTTTCACTGTAGGGCGAAAAACAGCAGGGGTCTGAGCAAGGAAAGATTAGCCGTGTGTCAGGTTGGCAAGGAGCACCAGTCTGGGAGACTGACCAGGGCAGAAAGACCAAGAAGCAAAGGAAAGGCCCCAGAGTCCAATGATAGGACAAGTGAAGCTGCTACTTGTCCCTCTACATGGTCTCCAGATCCTTCAACAGCTGCCCAAACCTCTGTGCATCCCCTCAAAAGGCCAATCAGAGCCAGGGGCCTCTCAAGGGGGACAGAGACATGGTCCAAACATGTCCTCAGCCAGTGCATCCTCATCTCCCTCTTCCCTCCCTCGGCTGAGCCTAACCCAGCCCAGCCCTGAGGAGAGCGTTGGCAGCTGGAGCTGGGAAAGAGGTACAGAGCCAAGAACAACAGAGGCGTAGCCTGGATGCTTGGGTGCTGGGCAGAACTTCTCCTGGTCTAGCTGCAATCCCTCCTGTTACAGTCAGCCCCCTCCTCCTGTCCAGTGTTCTGACCTTACTGGTCCACACCTGTTTCCCTTTGCCAGACCTGGAGCTGGCCCTGGAACTTACTGTCATCCTCTGCTTTGGGGTCCAGCTAATTCTTTCTCCAGGTCATTCAGGATTCTCTGCTCAATGTTTCCCTAGTTCTCAGGGTCTCCACCCTGCAGGAACATGTTCCTGGGGAATAAGTGCCTTCTTCTTAGATCTCAGACCCTGTTCCCCAACTTCAGTTTTCTGCAAACCTTTTTAGTCTAACTCCCACCCATCCTGCTACAATGAAAATTTCATTTGGGGAAAGTCAGAACCTGACCTTATCAGATTTGAAAAGGACTGGGTTCCTGCAGCCTGGGAGACAGACAAACATGGATCACTTCCCTCTATACTGAGGATAAGACCAAGCTGTGCTGAGTGGAATACCACTGGGCTCAGGGATGGCATGGGAACAGCTGCCTTTCCCCAGTCGCTAGCAACCCCTGTCTTCTATCTCAGGGTTTCCCACCTTTTGGAGATGTCTGACTTCTTTTCTGCCTTTGTGCTGGGGCAGCAGAGACCCAGGTGTCCAGTCCCACCTGGATTGAATTTCTATGTGACTCCCAGCCAACAAACTCTAACCCAGCAGATGCAATAACACAACTCGGGTGAGGCTCTTCTACAAGTGCTGAATTTGGCCAGAGAATCTCCTTTGTCTCAGTTGGGGGGAAGGGGAGGGGCCCATGACTCTCCCACTGTCCTCATCTCTGAAACTTTTCCCTCCCCAGGATGTGGCTGGGCTGGGTGGTCTCTTCTTCCAATTCAGCCTGGAAGGGAGTGATTAAGAGGGCTGGGTGGGTGTCTCTTCCTCCTAAGCCCCCTGGACCCCTAAATTGTACATAAATCCACAATCCTTCCTACCCCTCTACCATCCCAAAGCCCATCTCCATTCTTTCTGGTGTAAAACCACTGCTTTCCTCTTAGGCACACTACAGTGGGAACAAAGCCCCAAAATGTTTCTTTCAACACTCTCAAGCTTCATTCTGTTTCCTACCCTTTCCACCCCCAACCCTGTTGCAGTTCCTTTCACCAACTTTACCCCCTACCCCCTCTTGAGCCTCCAAATTCCAGTGAGAGCATCGAGAGAGGTGTGACCAAGGCTCCTAGGGAGGGGGAAGGGGTCGCCCTGGGCAGATCTGTAGCACATTTGGTCATAATTAAAAGGCCAGCGACACTGGGAAATTCCTTCTCCTTATTGATCCCGGCGGGAAATTAAAGCCAGTTGTTTGCGACTGAGTGGCTGATGCTGGCTGAAGCTCCTCCCCATCACCTGGTTCGAGGGCCCCATCCCCTGCCCCTTGCCCTTAGGCTCCCCCATCCTCCTCTACTCCCTCTCCCTTCCCCACCCCACCCCCAGCCCATTCCTCCCTGACCCCGTTCCCCACCTCCATGGCTCCCTGCTCCCGGGTACCAGGGCTGCTGGAGACTGTCCTCCAGCGCCAGCTGTTCAGCATACTGCTCGGACTCTATCCACCTCCTTCAGTCAGGGTTGGGGTGCCTACCGCCTGGAGCTCAGGCCCAGAGCTGCCAAACCACAAACACTCATATCTGGAAAGAATTCGCCTTCCAGACCCACTTCCCTTTGTCTCACTTCTGTCTCTTTAGAAATCCTGGCCTGCTGGCTGGGAATGGGGAGTAGGGGGAGTGGGGAAATGGAAGAAGGGGAGTGGAGTGGATCCAGGTCTCCTTGCCCCACTCCAGGGAGCCTGCCCCTCCCTGCTTCCCTACTGTGTGTATCCCTTCCCCCCTTCCCCCATTCTAGTGTTAAGATCCCTCCACATCCCTCCTCGGGTTTCTGAAGGTTTAAGCTCCCACATCCCGGTGACCATCTTTGGCGTGAGGCTGTAACATCCTAGTCCCGGGGAGCCAGCCAATACAGACCCTTTACTTTTACAATAGGAGGGATGCCTATTGAGCAGGAGACCAGACCCTTTGGGCTGGAGGTTTAAGAGGGCTGGAGTGGAGCGTACATGGACATAATACCCTGGGTGGGAGAGGTAGAAGGCAGTGAGGGGGAAGGAGGGGCAGCAAGAGTCTGGTTTCAGCCATGTTCCCTCCCCCAGCCTCTCCTCATCCCTTTGGCTAGGAGCCTGATTGCACTGTCAAAATGAATCCCCCTCCCTTTACCTACAGCATTGTGGAGCTTGCAGGGTGGGTGGGGGAGGGGGCCCAGCAATGCCTGCAACCCCAGGCCCTAAGCACCCCCAAGGGAACCTTCTCCTTCCCCCAACCCTGCCTTTTGTCTGTCTGTCATTCCTCAAAAAGCTCCTCAACCTGTTGCCCTCTTACTTCCAGAAAGAAGCCCAAGCCCTCCACACCCTCAAATAAACTCTCCCACACAAAACCTGAACCTCCAAATCACGCGGAAGCATCCAACTTTTCTGCAAACTGAAAGGTTTATTGACTGCTCTAAGGTGGGGCCCCGTGAAGTTCTTTCTACAGTCTAACCTCTATCCTTCCTGCTGCAGTCAGCCTAGCCGCTTTATCATCTTTTTCTACACACTCCATTAGTCTGAGATTTACCCCATTGCAACCCAGAAGCCTACTGAAGAGCTCTCCAGTCTTCAGTTCTCAACACAGAGGACAAATTCTACAGTCCCTCTCCTTTGGTTTCTTTCCTCCAGGCTCCTCTTAGCTCCTGCCAGGGCCCCCAAACCCTAGACCGTTCCCAAGCTCTAAGTATATGGGGTTTAGAGATCTCCTGGAGCTGGTCGTCTGCTCCACCCCTGGCCACGCTGGCAGGGAGGGGCCAGGGCTGAGAACCTGAGCTAGGACCAGAAGCAGCAATTTCTGTCCCCATTTCTTAAGGAGCTGGGAGAGGGATTCCAGGAGGGTGTTTCGGGAAACTGAACCACTTGCGCTGGGTCACCGAGGACTACCAGGCGGAGGTGTCTCTCAGAGCCCGGCAGGTCAAAGAATCTGCGTGTTCGGGACACCGCATGCCTCCCGGCTCTGCGCATTTGAAGTTTTATTCTTGAGCCTCGGAGTCTGTCTCCGAGGGCCGCGCCTGATCTTCATTTCTGGTTTTGTCTCGGGGTCCTAGCCATCGGGGTCTCGTCCACTCCCACTTGGGGCTCCTTCTAGAGTCGTGCCCCTCCCCCTCCTTTGATCTCCAACTTCAAAGCCGCTCCTAGAGCCGCTCCTTCCGCCCAGTTTACGGCTCGGGAAGGTGACACCTGAGACCCTGCCCCACCCCCTCTCCAAGCACCCAGCTTCCTCCCAATGTAGGTGGCAGCGTGGCTCGCCGGGGCTCCTCGCCTTTGTCCCCACCTCCGGTCCCCGCCGCCTACCGCGCGACCCCCTCTGGGGTCTGGCGAGCCGAGGGACGCAGAAAGCGCAGCAATAAAGAGCTTGTGTCAAGTGATTGACTGTGACCTCTGTCTTCCCCCTGCCTCGCGCCCCTGGCTTCTGTTTAACCCTTCGATACCCGCTTAGAGCATTAGGAGTGAGTCACACTGCGCGGATTTCCAGCGTCCCCAGGCCAAAGCGGCGTAGGGTTAGGGGAAGAAAAAGGTGGATACTATACCACTCACTTCGAGTCGTTACAGCAGGGGGTGCCGTTACCTCACCAGGTGCCTAACCTGGGTGCCCCAGTGCCCCCCAGCTCCCTGCGGAGTTCTGAGTTGGCCCACTGAATCAATTCAGGCTTCGAAGGAACCGAAACGACTGTCTGTTTCTTTCCCTAGTGCCGGCTGGCGAACCAGGGTTTTGCCCGCTCGCCAACTGCTGGAATCACGGGGTGTTAGACTTCAAAGAATCGAGTGCACCAAGTCAGATTGGGAAACAGGCTCGAAGTGTCCCTGAGACCTGGGCTGCTGGACGCTGGACCCCTGCGCAAATGCCAGGGTCCCGGAGGCCCCCCTTCTCGGGCAATCCAATTACTCATCTTCGGTTCGCCTTCCTATCCTATCCACCCACTGGCGTTGGAGAAAGCTGTCTCGGACCCCAGGGTACCCTGGGAGCTAGATCCACCCAGGGGGCTAGATCCAGAGGTTCAAGGGAGGTACTAATGCAGGGCTTGGGTGCAGGGCCCCCCAAGGTGGGGTGGGGGCGGGACGGGAGGCGGGGCCACTTCGTTCTTGGGCAGGGGCGGGCCAGGCGCGGGGTATAAAAGCTGCCCGCACTGGCGCCCCGGCCGATTTTGGGGTTGCCTGGGTCATTTCCTAGTTTGAGAGTCACGGGATCCTGCGAAGGCTGTAAAGTCTCTCTCTACTAGAGGACTCAGTGTCCAGTGCTCCAGTCAACCGCGCTGCCACCATGTCTAACTTCTCCGGCAACTGGAAGATCATCCGGTCAGAAAATTTCGAGGATTTGCTCAAAGTGCTAGGTAAGGAGGTTTCCGAGCGCCCGGGATGGGCAAGAGGGGCGTCGCCGGAGTCCTGCGAGATGGGAGTGAGAAAGAAAGGGAGGTCAGATAAGGTGGGAATCAATCGGAGTCAGGGCGTCGGAGGCTGGGAGCCTGCATCTTCAGGAACAGGGGCCGGACACCTGAGTCCAGGGACGCTGAGCCGGGATACCTAAATCCTGCTTTCACCTGGAAGGCGTCCACGGGTGCCAGTTCCTGCGGTGACTCAGAGCATGTGAATCAAGTAGAAACCAGAAACACGAGGTCGGTTTCCAGAGGAGGTGGGGGCTTAGCCACAGCAGCTGGTCGAGCTAACCAGGACACCTGGCTCGCCGCAGTTCAGAGGCCGACCATTGGGAGAGCTGCAAATTGTGCATCCAGGCTGAGAGCCTGGGTCCCTACCCAACCAAGTCCCTCAGAGACATTCCAACTTCCTTCCTCCTCCCCCCACCCCAAGCCCAATCCCCAGTTTTATTACCACTCGGCTTCACCATCCAACTACCAGGTGATCCTTGGCCCCTGGTTTCCTACCTCCTTCAGCTCTTTCCACTTTGCCTGCTCTTCTCCCCCACTCTGAGAGTCAAATATTTTCCTACAGAGAGCAACTCTAGCGTCCTAAAATCGCTGTGGATAATTATCACTTTCTTGAATTTCAGCAAATGGCTTCGTGTTAAGCACCAACCCCTCTATTTCCGAAAATCTCAGTTCCCTCCTCTCTGTCTCCTGAGACCAGGCTCCTGCCCAGCTGGGTACATTGGACTGAGGTGATAGAAACAGTACCATCCCAAACTGCCCTTGCAGCCTTCCAGGTTCCTGGGGGCGGACTGAGCTGGAGGGTCTGAGGAGGAGAGAGAACCAGGCCTCCATGACTGGAGAGACTGTCTGGGAGGAGATGAAGGTTAGAATCCATTCAAGATGCCCAGCAATTGGGAGAGGGCCGCAGAGTCCTGGAGCCTGAGTCACCAGACCATTTCCATGGCATTAATATCTGGACTGAACAGACCCTGGTTGGAATGCAGGAACACCCTATATGGGGCTGGTGTTGTTAAGTGCCGTCAAGTTGGTTCCAACTCATAATGACCCTGTATAGGATTTCTGAGGAGCAGCTGGTGCGTTTGAACTTCCAACCTTGCCATTCAAATCAACTTGGAGTTCAATGCTTATCCTATAGGGCTATGCGTGGGCCAGGGAGCTATGGAACCTTCATCTGGATCAAGGAAGGGGCTGTAAGTGCTATGGGGATAACAGCAATTTCCATCTTTCCTTACTGTTGAGTTCTTCTGACAATCTAACCACAGTATTTATTGTAGCTATGTCAGCCCTTGCTGAAATTAAAGATATTTTCCCTTCAGAAAGTCTAGATGCCACTCCCCCTCCGCCATCTTCTCTGGATTCTGGCCCCTGGCCCCGGTGGATGAGGGGGTGGTCTGGCACACCCCCAGGTGTCAGCTGGAGAGTAAGACCAAATCCTAACCCTGTTGTGTGTCTTCAGTCTGTTTGTCCTCCCTGCAGGGTCTCTTAGAGCCACGTGCCCTCCTCAGTCCCTGCTGATTGAAAACAGACCTGTTAGACAAACACAGTCCTGATTCAGCCATGGTCAGCTGAGTCAGTCCCCAGCTCCGTAGGCTGGTTGGAAGGCTATCCCTTCTGACTCCAGCCTTGCTTCCACAGGAACCTGTCCCCTCTCATTCCCATTTGCCTTTTGGAGGGCTCCTCTCCTGATGAGAAATGCTCAGGTATTTGAATGATACCTCTCTTATGCAGTGGGATGGATTCTGATACTATAACAAGGCAGGTGGATGTTATTAAGATAGGATGGACTTCCCAAGTAGCAGCAAAATAGTCCTTTACTTAGGCCAAGAAGATGGGATAAGGTCTGTCTCCTCTACAAGTCAATTGGGCATGGAGACCTGAGCTAGGTCCCTAGAGATCAACAGCCAGGAGATGGGGTTTCTATGTCTCCTGAGGGACAGGGGCTCCCTCCCTCTGCCTGTGTCTGAAACAAGGAGGGTCTACTTTGGTGCTGTGGAGGAAGAAAACTGGTGTTACTCTAGGAAACCAGACCTGGAGGAGGGCCATGTATGGGCCCAGCCAGAGCCAGGATATCTGGGCCAGATCAGGGGCAGAGGAATCCCGCTTGCCTGCCCCAGCCAAACTTGGCCCTCTTCTCCCCACCTGTTGCTTCCCTGAAGGGTTTTGCTCCAGTTCAGGGCAGGAGGCCAGGCCAGGTGAAGCGGGGGTGTGGAGCTTAGCCCTGGACCTGGGCCAGAAGCATCATCTCCCTCCCTGCTGGTCTTCCCACTGCCACAGTGGTTCTCTCCTGCCTCTCCCAGCCACCCTGATGACTTAGGGAACACAGAAAAGGGTCCATTCTGGGGGAGCACACAGGGGACACACGGACTCTGAATTCACAGAGAATGAATGAGAAGGTCTGACCCACCTGAGGTGCGGTAGAAGATCCTGGAGTAAGGGGGGGCAAGTGTCCCTTTCTGTCATTTCTTTGGGGCAGGAGAGGTGGGCATGGGAGCCCTCCAAGAGAGCAGGTGAGCAGGAGGTCTAATGCAGGAGCTTGAGTCCCAGCACTGGTTTTCTCTTTGCCTTACCTTTTATCCATAAAAATAATAGCAAAAATAGTTAAAATAAATAAATAAATAATAGGAAAGTTACTGTTCCCCAAGAACCTAGAGGTCTGCCTGGCACATATGTGTAAGGTCCTGAACACACACCATTCCATTTGATAAGGCTTTTGAGGAGGCTTTTATGTGATTCTTCAGTTGAATAAACTAAGACTCAGAGAGGTTAAGCTATTTGTCTAGGATAGCTCAGCTGGTAAGAGGGCTAAGCCAGGTAGAAAGAAGTCTAAAAGATCTGATTCCAGAGCTTCTGACTTCCCAGGCTGCTGGGTAGACCATAGAGGGAAACAGCCAGCTGCTCCTTGTTGTCACCTGCTGAAAATTCGTGCTTGACTACTGACCTAAAGATTGGTGGTTTGAACCCATCCATTGCTGCTGCAGCAGAATGATGTAGTGGTCTCCTTCCATAAAGATTACAGCTAAGAAAACACAATGAAACTATTCTACTCTGTAACATGAGATGAAATTGACTCTGTATCAATGGGTTTGGTTGTATTTTTTCCCTCATTTTTAGGATGGGCAGAGATTGTGCAAACAGAGGACTTCTTAGCCTTAGGCTTGCGTAAATAAAGCAGAGAAGTGGCCCCTACTCTCCAGGATATGATCAGTGGAGCCTGGTTGGAAAGGAATAAAGATACAGTGACTAGACAAACCCACCCCAGCAGAGGGTCTCAAGCCAGGGAGGACAAGGGGCTGGAAGTGAGGCCAGCAGCAAGCACAATGCTTTCTGGGTGGGGGCATACAGAAGCGCTCCCTCAGAGAACTGTGAGTGCAGAGCTAAGACTTGGGATGCCCCTCCAGGCCTGCTGACTCAACAAAGTGGGGCCACCACAGCAGGAACAAGACCCCTGAGGGTAGTTAACTGGGTTCTACTAGTACCTGCTGTCTCTGCCCAAGCACCTTCCTGGATACCCAGGCAGATCCCTACCTTCACCAGCTACCCATAGAACAGCCTGCTCCAGCTGAGAAGTATGATACTGGTGTCTGGAGCACCCCAAAAGGTGAACCTCTCTCCTTTACAGGAGTGAATGTGATGCTGAGGAAGATAGCTGTGGCTGCAGCATCCAAGCCAGCAGTGGAGATCAAACAGGAAGGAGACACTTTCTACATCAAAACCTTTACCACTGTGCGAACCACTGAGATTAACTTCAAGGTCGGGGATGAGTTTGAGGAGCAGACTGTGGATGGGAGACCCTGTAAGGTGAGTGCCAGGAAAGCATCTTGGATCCGTTGCCCTTTTTCTCAACCTGCTAGTTCCCAAACTTTCCTGGTATTTTCTCCATTCCAGTGGAGGAAGTCTCTAGGTAGTTGTAGGGTTGGAAGTGGGAAGGGGACCCAACCTGTATTCCTCCCACTGCATGTCCTTGATGAAATCGAATTCTCCAGTTCACTTGGCCACCTCTCCCTTGCAGAGCCTGGTGAAATGGGAGAGTGAGAACAAACTGGTCTGTGAGCAGAGGCTTCTGAAGGGAGAGGGCCCCAAGACCTCATGGACCAGAGAGCTGACCAATGATGGAGAGCTGATCCTGGTGAGCCCTTCTTCCCAGCTAAGAGCAAACCCAGTCCTACCTTGGATGATTATCTGGGAGACAACTATGACTGGTTTCCCTAGGGGCTTCTGGGATGGAATCAAGCTGTCCCTATTGGTTACAGTGAATTATGGGAATTAGAAATAGTTCCCTTCTGTGTGGAGCAAAGGCTCACAATACATAAGGCGACACTTTGTCACCAGAAAGTCAGAATTTCCCATCAGCAGGGCCCCAGCAAGTTCTCCAGGGAATCTTCGTGGTTTGGGGAGGAAGAGGTGGGAGGGGTCCCTGGGACTCAATTGCTATCATCCCTCCAATGGTGTCCAGGAATTGAGACTAGCTCCTACCTATTGGTCCTGAGCCAAGAAACAGGTTTACACCAAGGTCATCAGGGCCTCCTTCCCCTCCTGACCTTCTACAGGAGCACTGAAGAATTGAACAGGACCATCTCCTACTGGAGGACATTCACACCTCCTCTTCCAAAGCCACAGAACCCCAGGGGCCTCCCAGGCTAACGTCTGCTTCTGTCTTTCCAGACCATGACGGCGGACGACGTTGTGTGCACCAGGGTCTATGTTCGAGAGTGAGTGGCCATGGGTCCGAGTTGCCTGAGTCCACCACCAGCCTATGTTCACCACCCTGCTCCCATTCCCTCCCACTCCCTCCTTCTAGACTAGTTCTCCCCTCACCCTGGTCACTTCTAGGAGTTGCTGGGATACCTCTTGCAGGATCTCTGCTTTTTTGACCCCTTCTCTGATCCCCATACCACCAAAGAGGGATGAAGTGCAGAAGCCCAGATCACCCACTTTGGCATCACTACCCTCTCCCCAAGTCAGCAGTCCCAGCCCCAAACCAGCCCAAAGCAGGGTCTCTCTCTCTCTCTGGGAGGGACCTAAAGACCAGAGTGGGCAAGACTGGCCCTCTGGTTTCCGTTCTTTGTCCCTGTAGCCAATACAGTTTAGAATATTTATTTGTTAATTTTATTAAAATGTTTTAAAAAAACAACAACTGGTTTCTGGTTCAGTGGGAAGAGGGGATAGATAAGTTGCCTGAGTTCAACTTGGCCTTTGAAATGTAGTATGGGAGAAGAGATGTTTCAGCAGCATGGATTTGAAATATGCAACAGGGATAGACCAAGCTTTACCTTCATCCTTCTAATCACCACCTATTTACTGCTAATTCATAAGCATCACCTCCACTTCCTTTCCTCCAGCCTCCTTGGCTCCTTACTCTGCCTTCTAAGGTAACTGGGAGATATCTCCTCCTCCTGACCTCCTGCAGGGGCACTAGTTAAACATTGCCATCTCCTCTCAGGTTTTCCAGATAGTGACAGTTTTCCTTCTCCTCCAATTCTTCTTTCTCCTCCAGTCTCAGTCTGTGGGTAATCCCAGGCCTGGCCTCAGTCTTTTACATGGTTCCCCAAATAAGCTCATACATGCCCACAAGCTGGCCTTGTCTCTTGGTAAGAGGTCTTATCCTGCCTGTCAGCCCTCTGTGTCCAAGACAAGGCTATCTCTGCTAGTGTCCTTCCTGCCTGCCTGAAGTCTTCATCCCTGCCTAGATCTTCCAGGTCCCTTGAGTTCCCCCTAACCTCCTGAAAAAAGGTCTAATAGTCAGGTCTACGTCTTCTCAAGTTCCTTCATGATCTCCCTCAAACCCCTCCTCCTCTCCTTCCCCAGGCCACTTGCCCTAGATCCAGACCTTCTCGTTGCTCACCTGGTTTTATATAACGGCTTCTACTGGTTTGCCTGCCCTGCTCACCCCACTTTTATGGCATAATAGAGTAAGATGTATACGGGTGTTGAAAGAGTTCAAATCCTGTTTCTGTCTTTTATCAGTTGTGTAACCTTGGGCAAGTTATGTAGTCTCTGTGAGCCTTCGTTTTGTTTTGTGAACTGAGTGAAGGTTTACAGAGCAGATCATCAGTTTTACATTCAACAATTCATACACATTAAGTTTCATCTCACGGATTGCAGTCCCCTCCATGTAACATTACTATCCTATTTCCTCCTGGTGTTTCCTGTTTCCATTTGTTGACCTTTTGATCTCAAATGGCTGATCATTCTAAGTTGTACCTACTTAACTAGTGCTATTGTTCCCCTTATTTGTTGTTGTTGTTGTTAAGTGCCATCGAGTCGGTTCTGACCCATAGCGACCCTGTATAGGGTTTCCAGGGAGTGACTGGTGAGCTTGAACCACCGACCTTGCAGTTCAAATGGCTTTGTAGTCTGGCGCATTAACCCACAGCGCCACCCCAGGACTCTGTTCCCCTTATAGACCTATCTATTGTTTGGCTGAAAATTGAGCCACAAGGATGAGTTCTTTTCCAGACCTGAAGGGTGATTAAGCACCGTAGTTTCAGGGGTTCCACCAATTTCTATCCAGCTAGTAAACCTGGTCTTTTTTTTTTTTTTTTTTTATGATTTTGAGTTGTGTTCTGCATTTTTCTCCCACTCTATCCAGCACCTTCTACTGTGATCCCTTTCAGTACAGCTGTTAGCAGTAGTTAGGCACCATCTAGTGCTTCTGGTCTCAAGGTCATGGAGACTGATGTTCACATGTTCCATTAATCCATTGAACTAATTCTTTCCATACATCTTCCGTTTTTATCACTCTTCTAGACAGGGAGAGACCAATAGTTAGTTGCACTTTAGATGGCTGCTCACAAACTTTCAAAATGTCAGCTGTGACTCTTCCAAGTAGGATGTGGGACATTTTCTTTGTGGGCTATATTATTCCAGTTGACCTTGACCTTGGTGTTCTTCGAGACTGTGATCCTGAAGGGAGAAGAGCAGAGTGTGGGACCCTACCCAAGGAAACAGTGAAGCCAGAGATAGAGGCAAAGACAAAGACGTGGAGAGATACAGCAGCTGGGGACTCTAGACCCAGAGAAGGAGAGGGGCTGTGTGCAGATGACCAGGTGGCAGGCTTGCGGGGTATACTCTGGTTGTTTGATGATGCATGGAGGGGATTGTAACCATGGCAATGAAACGATATATGATAGGATGAATGTAAAGCTAATATTCTCCCATGTAAATTATCACATAATTTACAAAAAAAGAAAAAAAGACTATGATCCTGAGCTCCCAGGCCCAATGACTCATTTCCTCGAGGTGTTTGGTTATGTTTAAGAAGTTTTAGTTTTAAAAAAAATTTTTGTTTAAAACAAGAAAATCCCCACAAAATAACATAATTGAATAGCTTATGTATTGCGAAGTTCCAGCAGAACTTAGCTTTAGATGTGGTGGGATCCAGAAACTCCAACAAGATCATCAACTTCTCCCCTCACTTCTGTTTCTTTTGTGCACTGATGACATTCGATATTGTCACAGAGTTTTATTCCATATCATGGAAATCAGCTTCTGACATCCCAAGTTTATATGGTTATACCTTGAAATCCAAAAAAGAAATATCTCCCAGGGTCATATATTTAACTCAGTTTGGTCCTCCTTGGATCATACAACCATCCCTAGACTAGTTGCAGTTGGCAGTGAAAGGAGTCCAATGATTGGCTAGGCCTGGACCTATCAAGAAACCGAACACTGTGATTGATAATCCCACCAGAATCTCATGGGTTGGGAATGAGAGGTTTTCTAATGAAGAGGGGCACTATAAGTTATAATCTTCCAATTTATAGAATGGCAATTTTAACATCTACCTCACAAGTAGTTGTTAGCTGCCATTGAGTTGGCCCACGACTTATGGGGGTTTTACGTACAACAGTAAGGTTTAGCACCATCCCCGTGATCAGTTGCAGATGAGACCATTGTGATCCACAGGGTTTTCATTGGTTCATTTTCAGAAGTAGATTGCTAGACCTTTCTTCCTAGCATGTCTCAGTATGGAGGCTCTGCTGAAACTTCTTTAACATCATAGCTATATGTAAGCTTCCCCCTGACAGTTGGGTGGTGATCATGCATGAGGTATATTAGCCAGGAATCAAATCTGGGTCTCTCACATGGAAGTCAAGAATTCTGCCACTTAACCATAGTAAGTTCTCAAAAAATGACAGTCCCATCTCTTTGAATCACCCTCAAAATACTGTCAGAGCAATCTTTCTAAAACATAAATTATTGCTCTGTTTTAAACATACAAAAGTTCCTCTTGCCCGCATCCCTTCTTTTTGTTCAGAATAAAGTCCAAACTTGTATTATAGGTCTTTCAAGACATGGCTCCCATCCCTTACTGCACACCCTCTTCTGGGCAAGCCTCTGCTCAAACTACTCCTGGATGGTTTACTGCCCTCTCCACCCACTGGTACCAATTCTTCTCAAGCCTGACTCAACCTCTCCCTCCATCAGAGCTGACGGCCAGTGGTCATACTTCACAGCCTCTGTGTCAGCAGAGGAACAGAGGAGCCTCCTCTCCCTACAAGACCAGGTGCCCTCTGCCACTGACCGGAGGCCACAGGCTGATCCTTTGACTGCAGGGTAAAGAAGGTGACCCTCTCATTTATTCATCCAACAATTCTTTTCCAATAGCCTCCAAGGAGCCCTGATCATGCAATGGTTAAGCACTCAGTTACTAACTAAAAGGTCTGCAGTTCAAACCTTCCAGCTGGTTTCAGGGAGAAAGATGTGGCAGTCTGCTTCTATAAAGATCAGTCTGTTGTTAAGTGCTAACGAGTCGATTCCAACTCATAGTGACCCTGTATAGGGTTTCTGAGGAGCAGCTGGAGGGTTTGAACTGTCAACCTGTGGTTCGCAGCCTTGGAAAGCCTTTGGGGCATTTCTATTCTATCTTATAGGGTCACTGTAGATAGAAATTGATGCAATGACAACAACAAAATGGGTTTCTAAGAAGCTTGGTACCTGGCACCTCCCTAGGTTATGAGAACACAGCAATGAATAAAACAAATAAGACCCAGGCCCTCATAGGGACTGTGGGAGAAAACAGACTAATAATGCAGAAAGGTAGACAATGAAAACATGAGCTGTTGTTGTTACTTGCCATTGAGTGGGCTCCAAATTGTGGTGATCCCATGTGTGGAATTGCTCAGTAGGGTTTTCAAGGCTGTGACATTTGGGAAGCAGATCATTAGGCCTATCTTCCAAGGTTCCACTTGGTGGGTTTGTATTTGTGCCATCCAGGGACACAAAAAAAATAAAAATAAAAAAGCACTAATAAATATATAGCTGCATATTGTGATAAGTGTATTGAAGAAACAACAGGGGTAGGTATAGATAGAAGGGTTGTTGTTGTTGTTAAGTGCCATCGAGTCAGTTCCAAGCCATAGTGACACTGTATAGGGTTTCTGAGGAGAAGCTGGTGAGCTTGAACTGCCAACCTTGCAGTTCAAATGGCTTTGCAGTCTGGTGCATTAACTCACAGCACTAGAGGAAACTCATTTAGATTAGGGGTGGAGCAGAAGTGTCAAGTAAGATGGTGTTTTGAAGGACAAAGCACTTAAGGTGGGGCCTAAAGAAAAGACGCACCAACCACTAAAGCCAGTGAGGATGAAATAGAAGAATTCTACCAACTTCTTCAATCTGAAATTGATTAAACATGCAATCAAGATGAATTGATCATTACTGGTGATTGGAATGCAAAGGTTGGGAGCAAAAAGGAAGGATGAATAGTTGGAAAA